ATATTTGCCCCCCAAATCAAACTTTGATGGAGATATATTTAATTAAGTTCTTAAACAGGGGAGTATATGCCAACTTCAAAGCACTGAATATTTTCACAAGTAATGACGCCACATGTACGTAGTGACGTCACAAACATGACGTAAATTTCAGTTTTTTTATGAATTTTACAGAAAATTGTACATATTTCGTCGATATTTTGAGTAAAAGTCACCGAGCGCATGTGTGTTCAGGATCAATACTTTGATATAATGTGTAGAATGATAATATCAATGAAATATGTCAATATTGTTCCTGAACAAACTTGCGCTCTATAAATTTTAAAGCTAAAATTGTTGAAATTTTGTCCATTTTGTCCTCTTTCTGAAAAAGGATATAAAATCGGACTAGTTTGTGACGTCATAAAAACAAAAATTGTGAATACACTGCTTTGACACTATAATATTTTCTGTTAATTTATATTTCTCATACAATTTATTGAATTCAGCACATTTCAGAAAGTTTTCAAAATTTGACTTTTGTGGGGGCAAATATATGCAATATACCGCATATAGTTCTTTGTGAATTTTATGGCCCCAGGGTCAGGGGTTCTGGTGTTAGGGCGGGGCACTATACATATTGTGAAAATGCATTATTTCTTTGAAAATCTTCTTCTCTGCTTCTGGGTATTAAATAAACTAACTAAGTACATAGTTATGATGATCAAGAGTGCCTCTTTCAAAATTGTGAATTTTATGGCCCTAGGTTCAGGGGTTCTGGTGTTAGGATGGGGCTCTATTGATTATGTAGTGAAAATGCATTAATTCTTTGAAATTCTTCTCCTCTGCCCTTGGGAATTAAATAAACTAAGTACATAGTTATGATTAGTAAAAGTGCCCCTTCCAAATTTGTGAATTTTATGGCCCCAGGGTCAGGGGTTCTGGTGTTAGGGCGGGGCTATATAGATTATACAGTGAAAATGCATTATTTCTTTGAAAATCTTCTTCTCTGCTCCTGGGTATTAAACAAACTTACTAAGTACATAGTTATGATGAGCAAGAGCCCCTCTTCCAAAACTGTGAATTTTATAGTCCCAGGGTCAGGGGTTCTGGAGTTAGGGCAAGGCACTATTGATGATATTGTGAAAATGCATTAATTCTTCAAAAACCTTCTCCCCTGGGTATTAAATAAACTAAGTACATAGTTATGATGAGCAAGAGTGCCTCTTTCAAAATTGTGAATTTCATGGCGCTTGTATCAGAGGTTTTGCCATTTGGTGTAAAAGGGGGGGGGTATTATTAAATAGTAAAAATACAGTAAATCTTAAAAAATCTTTTCCTTTGCTCCTGAGTATTATGTAAATGATCCAAATATATATACTTATGATGAAGAAAGGTGCATCTATCAAAATGGTTAATTTCATGCCCCCTGGGTCAGAGGTATAGGAGGAGGGGGGGGGGGGGGTTACATAGTCTGAAAATAAATTAATGCTTTGAAATCTGCTCTTAGGTATTATATTAGGCATCATTAGTAGTATTAATCAACCATTTATGATGAAATAAAATTAATGATAAAATTTCCAACATTTTGAAATATGTTGCTCCAGGGTCAGTGGTTCCTTTGGGGTGGGGTGCACAACTGGTTATAAAGTGGAAGTGCATTTTATCTTTGTTACTCTGATCTACCTCTCGGTATTAAGTAAACAGCGTAAGGATGCCAAGTTTATGATTATGATAAGCAATGGTGCCTCTATCAAAATTGTGAATTTCATGGCCTCTGGTTTAAAACACGAACCAAATTCAATTGTTGGAAAGTTGTTACATGATACTCAAGTGACCTATAAGGCCCGTAGGCCTCTTATTAAAAGAATGTTTTTCAACAGGTGTAATGCTGAATATTGGTAATAGAACTTAAAAAATGAATATTCTCATTATTTAATCAATTTTTCCATTTTAGCAAGCATTCTGAGAGTATTGCATAAGCAATACATGTCCCCTACCGGGTTCCCCTTTTCTCTTTCGGGTGTCATTTTATTAGAGCCTGTGTATGAAAATTGTTACTTAAACATGGACATTTCAGTTATTACTTGAACATGAATGAAATATATTGGATCTGCCTTACAAAGAAAGACTCGTGACGTCTTTGAATGCCATTTGACACACACACAAATGCTTTGATCAGAACAGCTTATTTTACATGGTTGAACAATTTTATACCAGTAAAAATCAAACTTGATCTATATTTGTCACTATAAAGGTATCCAGCAAGTTTCAAATCATGATACATTAATCCAGTAGCACTCAGAGTTCCTCGGATGACTCGTACCTCGCACATAATGAATTGAATGGAGCGTAGCGGAATCAGCCGAGGATTGCCGATTGATCCAGCAGTGCATCACGACATTAATTTAGTGCATCACGATCCCTATTGGGAACCCAATTATTAAAAAAAAAAAAAAATACCACAATTCCTTCAGAAATCAAAGTAGAACGAAATGCAAACTTGGTCTATAATTAATAAATTTATAAAAGCTATCCATCAAGTTTCAATTCATGACAATCTCGTTTAGAGCATAAATTGAGTGCACCACGACATAAATGTAGTGCATCACGAACCCTATATTTAACCCAATTATAAAATTAAAAAGATAAAAATACCGTAATTCTTTCAAAATTCAATTAAGCAGAACGAAATGCCAACTTGATCTATAACTAATTAAGGTAAAGTCTTATACTTAAAACCAGCTCAATATCTGCAAGCGTTTAGGAGAAAAGTGCGGAAAACCCTGAAAAATTGAAAAGGCCGTAATTCCGTAAAAAATCACTGAATCGGAACGATATTCAAACATGACCTGTAACTTATCAAGATACACCCACGTACCAAAAATCAGCTCAATATCTACCAGCGTTTAGAAAAAAAGTGTGGAAAACCAAGTGGGAAAGACTGACAGACAAATGGGGACAGACAGACAGAGGGACGGACAGACGCAGAGGAAACCTATAGTCCCCTCCGGTTTCACCGGTAGGGGACTAAAAAAATTGTGACAAGGGCAATTACTCCTTCTCAGATCCTAGTATCTTCATTCAGACAGTCTCTTTATTGCACTTTTAATGTAAAATAGTACCCCTGATATTCACATTTCAAAATTATCTGATAAACAGGAAGTATTTTGCAAATCAGAATTGAACCAGTTTTTAATTTAGCCAAACTCAAATAAAATCTAAATAAGGAGACGACCATTTGATTCTGAAGGGGGTGGAGTGGGGAGTAGGGTAAATTTAATTTCAAGAGGTCTAGCAGAAAATAGATTAGTAGAATAATAGTAAAATTATTGACAAACAAATTGATGAAACAAGAATTTCAACAAAATTTGTAGCTCTACACCGGCAAATTCTCGAGAGGGACGTTAAACAACATAGAATCAATCATACATAGAGAGAGGACTTCAGCACGTTAACGATAGAAAAGTTAAAGACATAACGTCTATCATAAAGCTTGATTGTTAAATTACCATTAACGTCTTTTTCAAGTAAAATATCCAAATATGAAACAGATTTGTCAGACTCTGTGGTATCTTTTATCTTAATCACACCAGGATATATCGTATTGACATAAGAATGGAAATTACCATTTTATATCAAATTCATATATTAAGCTGTAAAATAGTTTTTGTAGTTGTTTGTTGGTATGACAAATTCAAGTGTTTGTCATAAGTAAGTTTGATTTATTATAGTTTGCAGCTAACTGTAAAGTTTCACGTTACGCCACGATCTTTTTCGTCAGATGCATCTAGCGTAAACAATTCACGTGATTGGTCAACTCAAATTATCAACATTGACATGGAAATAGTCTGCTGTACGAGAAACCAATCAGGGATAAGAAGAAAGTTCCAGTCGTAAAGCTTGCGTAGGAGGCGTGTACAATTTACCTTGACCACAGCTGTCAACTAGATCGTGATGTAACGTGAAACTTTACAGTTAGCTGCAAACTATAATATACAAAAAAACAGGTCCAGCAAACCTCTTGATAAAGCTATATAGCTTTAACTAGCAGTATAGCTTGATAAAGCTATTTAAAATAGCTTTATTAAGCTATTTGAAATATGAAATATTGAAATAAAATTCTTAAAAACAAAAAAAAGAGTCGCATCATGAGTACTTATCAACCAGTTAACCCGTGCATTAAAAAAGATACTAAAATCAAGGTATAAAAGCGATGCGTGTGGGGCGTTCATCTTAATGAAAATTTCAATTGTATTCAACGAAGTTTAAAAAATTCGACAAGTGCATAAAACGAAAAACATCTCATAACGGTAAGTATCAATATTTTTTTTAATGATGAAATACAGTGTTAAGCAGCGATAATTTAAAAATTCATCATTGCCTTCATAAAAATGATATCCATTTCACAGTGTTTTTTGTGCAAAGTTTACAAAACTGCCATGAAAAGTATCAAAATTTAGTTACAAAATCCATGACAACACTCACAATTTGAAGTACATGTGCTTTGGAAATCCTAGTCGCCATATACAGGAAATGCACAATCAATACTAAAGCGTTGATACAGAATCAGGCAGATCCTCATCTTCCGGGTGAAAATCTATGGAAGCACGGTATTAAAATTATTGTCTTTGTAACGTATTAATTATTTGCAATTATTTTGCCTATTAAAGAACGGAAGGGATTGAAAAATATATGATATTAAAGCAAGAAAATAATACAATTATTTATATTCCAGATACTTATGAAAATTTTGATAATTTGACACTACCCCCCCCCCCCCCCCCTTTTTTTCCAATGTTTAATTTTGTTAAAAATTATTAAATAATATAATATACATGCTGTTGTAATGTCATACAGAATAGTAAAATAAACCCTGGGAAAAACAACAAAGGGAAAAAGAAGAGGGGCATGGCAAGAGGTGGGCCAGCATCAAGTACCTATATTGAGAATGCTAAAAAAAAAAAAAGACATGACTCAGTGTACAGGAGGAATAACACACTGTTTAAAAAGGTATGAACATCTTATGCACCTTCGTCATTTTTAACATTTAGGGAACTTTCTACAACTTCAAGTAATTCTTAGTAGAAATTAATGTCCATTTCTTTCCCACCATTTTTTATATCTCTTTTCCATTGCATTCTCCTGTTTTAACAAGAAAAAAAATTAATTTTCTTAAAATGCAGATATGCATGCGTATGTATATCTTTATTTGAAAAATGCAAAAATTATAAAATATGCATATCAGCTTTAAAATCCAAATCAAACAGTTTTTCAATCTGCTCCTCATATAGATCAATCTTGCCTGCTATTTCTGCCTTTGTTTTACTTTCGATAGAATGAAAGTGAGAACGTTCAAGACTTGTAAAGAAAATAGGTTCAAGAGAAAGTGATATTTTGACAGAATTATTTTTCGAAACTTCTTGAATATAATTAAGCCGATTGTTTTTGCATTTCTGTAAAAAAAAAATACTAGTTCTTTATCAAGGATTTGTTGCATAGAGAAGTTTGATCGTTGGAGGAGAAAGGATTGGAGATATATTCTGATGATCTTAATTCAGCACGCCACTGATATATTTCGTTATCAAGATTGGTGTGGAAAATTAATTCTTCACTGGAGTCCCTGATGTTCAATTGGGATTTCATGTTCTTTTTTATCTACAATACAATATATCTTATTACATATATATATATATATATATATATATATATATATATATATATATATATATATATATATATATATATATCATATATTCTTAATTTATTGTTGAACAGGCTAAATAACTCCATCTTACAAGTAAAAGTGTAGTATTCGTTGTTAAATCGCCATCTGGAAAAATGTCCACGTACGTCATGCCTTTCTTTGAAAATGTTAGCATGTAATGGAATACACAAATCTCATTCAATGATATTTATTTATTTAAAGAATTGATTGAATGAATTTTTTCCGCCTTATTTCGTTAAAAACACACATTCTTGATATATTTCAGCACATTCAACGATTCATAAAACTTTCCCCTCTAATGTTTCTAGCTCACCATCCCCTGCCAAAAGTAATTCTATGTCCTCCTCTTCCTCTGTTAATACGACTTGTTCATCGTCTACCTCTCCTAACTTATCTCCACCCCACATTGTTCTACCCAGTCAATACCTCCCATACTTTCCTTAAATGCACCATCCCCAGAACCTTCTCTTTCCTCTCCCTCTCCTACTTTTCCATCTCCTAAACCTACTTTTCTCCCCTCTAAAACTAACAATGAATCAGGAGGAAAGGAAAACAGATCAGATGGATATCAGATTTCAAAGAAGAGAAGGGTTGGCACGATGTTATGCTAAAGCAAGTGCACTCTGACTGAAAGAATCACCAGTAAAGTACCCGACACTTGCAATGTTTGTTTGACCACACAGACACGTGGGCATTGGGTAGTTTGTGACCGTGCTCGGTTTGGGTATTGGGTTCATGACGAATGCAGGGGGTTTTTATTTTTCGTCATTCAGTATTGTTAAGAAAACAAAGTTTAAGTGTCCTATACACAGATGGACAACTATTTTATGTCTGTAATAAAAGTATAGTCCTACTATGTTTTAGATACTTTTTTCTTTTTTTCAATTTTATTTTACCAAAATGTTTGTAAAATACTTGCATTTTCTAGTGTATCCAGATTTCTGCAACATTGCATCCAGTGTTTTTCCTTTGGTGCACCACTGGGAAGCCAGCTTTAAGCCCGTCTTTTTTAGGCTTCCAGTATAAAATCACACCCCTCTCTTTTGCTTTCATTTCCAGATTCTAAATATTTATACGGTGAAAAATCATTCTCTTTAACCCAAGGATACAAAAAAAATATAGATATCCTAATAGTCACTGAAATCGTCCCTCATCTTTTTGCTTTCGGTAGAGCCAATGGCTTCAGTAATTTTCATCAGATTCTCATCAGATATGTTGTTTGTTTTAATCAAATTAATAACTTGATCAACAAGTTCATTTTGAATGTCTTTTTCATTGGAAATTTAAGTTTTTTTCACTGTACGCAGCTCAGCTGTACATAAATACACTGCTCTTTTACACAGATGGCCATTTTCAACGAGACCTTCAACAACTGAAGTTTTGTATTTTTTGCTGGAAAGTCTTATTTAAAAAAGGTTCATCTTTTGCAAAGTTTGTATGTTGTCTACAGCTACAAGTTTGCATTTTTATCCTAAAAAAAAATAATTAAATGTTCTGTATTAACACCACCCCCTCTCAAATGAAATATTCATGTATAAAGAATGCATTTTCTGTCTTTTATGTACTAACATCATATATTATACGATTGCTTTATTCCGCCTGTAACATTAAAATCTTTCCTTATTGATCACCAGGTTAACCTTCACAGCAATGATTCATTGATGCATTTATAATGAAAATGCGTTTCCATACTTTACAAGAACACTGTGTAGAAACGGACTAGGGTAAAGTGCGTTACCCTAGTCCAAGATGGCGATAAGCTACTACGCTTCGATCATTTTGCACTTAGTTTCAGCGTTATACAGACTTACATTATAAATTTTGTTGTTAAAATTGAAATATTTCATACAGAAGAGCACAACATTTGCGAAAAGTTGGCATGAAATGACCTAATTAACGCTAGATTGCGGGTACAAAATTTGAGCATGATTAGGGTAAAGTAATTTTTTGACTAGGGTAAAGATATTCTGATCTCTTTTGGTGACTAGGGTAAAGTAAGTGTAAAATGTCATTTCCCTTGTTTCAGGACCTAAAGGATCCTATTTTGAGGGATGTTTACTCCTTCTAGGCACCTGATCCGACTTCTGGAATTTCAATTTCCAGGGGTTTGTGTTTTATAGCCTGTCCACAGATTTCTATTGTTTGTAGTTTTCAGTAATACATCACTGTTCTTTATCTTCACCTTTTCCATTGAGGATGAGACCCGACACACACTTTAGGTCGTTTCCTAGATTATTACACAAAACACCACGAAACTGAAAAATTCTTATTTTGAAGTGAACCGAATGCAATGGCGAAGTACTACTTTTTGCATTTAATTTATGATCCTCTTTATATCTTGAACATAATATAACAAAAAATGAGAAGGAAAAACGGCGCTCTTTTTATTCAGATGCGGCGAGAAAAAAATCAAACATCTACAGATCAATTAAAGAACCGGTATAAAGAAAAGGGGGAGAGAAGAATTTTATTATTTTTATTTATTTTTTGCATTGACGTGTGCATAATGGCCAGAAGTGGGGTGTTTGTAGTATTCTCATTGGATCTAAGATCGACAAACGATGCAAAAATTAACACTGTTGTATGTACTGACGTAACTGACAAAGCATTTCTCCGAGAGAGAAAAATTAATTACACCTCTAAATTCTGGCTTCTGCATGATTCTTTTTCAGAAAGTTTGTTTCTTTAACAAGTGAAAGGCCAACTTTTCCCAGACCAACTTCCTTCAGTACATGTACCTTTTTTGCGTAAAATACTATGTTATTACCAATATAAATTTACTGTAACAAAAATAAGGGGGGGGGGGGGGGTGGCAACCTTTCATTGAACACTTTCAATAGTAAAAGTTATGTCAGCCCCCCTTGTCCGCCCCCTGTTGCTACGTACCTTGGGCACGAACTCTGTTTTGTTAATGTGAAGTTTCACCGGGTGTGTTCAACTACACACATCATTGAGCACGGACTGGCAATACTGATGAGTTGGTTTTGCTTTTTGACATTTCTACTCTAATTTTTACTTCTCATCAGTATTAAGAATAAAATTTGACTCAACATACTAGGATGTATGAATTAAACGCGTTTGAAATTCCTTGTTTCAATAATTTGCGGACTTATGAAGTAAGTCTTCTTTAATTATATTTCCGTGTGAGATGCTATGGAAACATAGGAAAGACTCCAAAGTCCGATGATAACGCCAAATTCCGATGGTCTGCAGGAAACCCTGTTGCATGCATGGTGTGTTGTCGCATATGTTATGTAGTCAACTAGACAAGATATTTAACTGAGAAAAAATTAACATGAAGTCTGTTCCCAAGCACCTATAAAGTTATATAAAAGTACAGTGTAAATAGAACATATAAAATATGTAGTATTATTTTTTGTTTTATTTATCATACTAGTATTCATAAATTAAGAACTATCAATAAAAAACGCGTTTAAAAATTGACTTCTACGACTTTATGACATCACATTTGTCAAACAAAACCGAAAAAAAAAAACATCAAAATCATTTCGTTTGTGGATATTGATACAGCTATGCCCATCATAGTACATCGTCTAAAAATGATTGATTTATATCCATGTACTCCGCAGTTTTATTCAATTTTTTTTCGAGATACATGTACGTGAAACAATTAATTTTGCTTCATTTCTATGCAGGGTACCAACGTTGAAATTGATAGAGTTTTTGTGTATGCCTTGCTACGACCCTGGATAATATAATTACATGTTTGAACACTATGCAATTTCTTCCAGGGGGGTCCATCCCAGTCCAAAAAAATATTCAACCCAGAAATTTCTTGACAAGCAAAAAAAAAACAAACAAACAAACCAACAAACAAAAACCAAAAAAAACAAAACAAAACAAAACAAAACAAAAAACAAAAAAATTAAACTCGCCCACATATCAAAAACCTATTTCGTGCTGGGGAGGGGCTTTGACTTTTCATACCAATTGAACACAAGTTCGCGTTTACCAGGGAAATCTGCGTTTTCCGAGGGGTTTTTCGTGCTTTAGTATATAAATTTAATAACCTTGCAAATTCCGGGGGGGGGGGGGGAGTCCTGACCCCCCCCCCCCCCCCCCCGTGCATCCCTCTAGATCTGCGCATGATTATGATACGAAAAAAAATTACAGGTATACTGTGCAAAATTTGAGTAATATTGTGTATGCAAACTGTCTTTAATAAAAACAATCGGTATACATGTACATGTACATGTTTTCTTTGTGGAAGCAGAAGGTTTTGAATGTTTTCCACTATTCCTTTCTCAACTTTATTATGAAATTGTATATATATCATTTGTTCTGTGTAAAGATAGTTTCACTTTACCCTAGTCTCGAAAAAACTTTACCCTAATCGCAAAGAAACACTTCATAGACTTTACCCTAATCTATAGGCAAACTTCGCGACGCGTTTTCTGGTTAATTACGCAGAGTTGAATGTTGTCTCTTTCTGAGCAAGGGAAACTGATGCTGCAATTCAAAATGGTGCAAAACAAAGTAGGGGTTTTCATTAGAATTCACCGAAGTTTAAGAAGATGAAGAGATAGATTACCGTTATTCGGGTTTCTTCTGTAACTACGATGAAGACAGCATATCCGGTGTGGAGCGCCCAGGCGGGAATTGAACTACTGATGCTTCAGTTGGTTAGTTATTTAAATCTGCCAATCTCCACCGTTTCATTGTCAACAACAAACTTTTCATTAAGATGAGAGCCCAACACGCATCGCACTTTTATACCTTGATTTTAGTAAGTATTTTTTAACTTGTTAACAAGTACTCATGATGCGACTCTCTTGTTTTTATTTTTAAGAATTTTATTTTAGTATTTCATATTCGGAATAAAGCTATTTTAAATAGCTTTATCAAGCTATATAGCTAAATAAAGCTATATAGCTTAATCAAGAGGTGCGCTGGACCT